TCACTCAAAATTATAAACATTTTAATTTGCATATTAAACCATATCTGTTGGATCAATGATAGACCGAGGATGGTTGGGAAATCTGATACTGTAAAAACAGAGGATTGCACCAGTGGCATTATCGTTGTGTCGTTGTGTGCGAATGGAAGGTGAGTTACACGACCGCAAGACAAACCCGACGGCCATGAAATCATTCACGCATGCCGATGTTAAAATATGCACCCGGGGACGGAGATTACGGGGCTGAATGCACGTTTATACCAACATGAGGGGTTGAGGTACGTCCTGCCCTCATCCACCGAGACCACCTTGCCCTCACCCTCCCACATCATTATCCAACATTACCACATGATTTGCTATCTCTCCGATATTCCCAGAACAACCTAAAATTATTGCCTCAACATTTCTCATTGATTTTCATTGATTTTTAATTTTCCTGGATCCCACTGTTTGATACATAATAATGGAGGCACGATGGAAGGCGTTACCGGAAGTAGCGTGCACAAGCTACCTCGTGATGATTCCAATACAGCGGCTGGAAGGCTGAGGACGCTGGTCAGCATCATGCAACTCAAGTTCTAATCCTCTTCTCCGCGCGTGACGAGTTGCATGGTTAACCCACCCTGGCCACATCCATCCAGGAAAAGGCCAAATCTACTTGGTCTATCCTGCCTTAACCCCTCAGTACATCATTATTATTGATGGATATTGAAGCACGGAGTATTTGTACATTTTCCAAATATGATTGGCAATCATTTGAAATAAGAATTTTAAATAAAACCAATAAAAATAAAAATATTCACAAGTCGGGAATGAATTCATTAAACAAATAGGGAGGCGCGTGGCATGCAGAAGAATGTGTTCTTCATGAATTATCAATTGTTCATCTCGTCGGATCCTTTCTTGCCAGCCATTTGGTCGTAAATATTCCAACTTGTAAAATCACAAGTCATTATTTTTAGAGTACACATCGTACACGTTTTATTACCCTTAATAATGAAATTTTACTTATCCGAGATTGACTCTGACCGTATCATCTCAATACCAATGGTTGTATTTTTTTTTTTTTTTGTTAAATAAGACGAATGGAATGTGTTGTTTTATTCATCGTAAATATGCAAGGGGGAAATTGATTCCATTGTGTGGTCAGACACCTGTGCAAGGATTCCACCTTCTTTTACACCACAAACAACTCACCTGACAAGTTCTCCTTGTGAAGATAGACGTGTATGCATATCCGAGAAACTGAGGCAAATTATTGTGAAGGTGTAACACTCAGAAAATCACTTCGCATTGATCGACCATTGGCGTGCGTTGAAAGAATAATGGAGCAATTGAGTCAATACGAACAGTGGAATTAAATGGAATTTTATGGTCGAGTGTTTGTACCACAGTTAATGGAATACCTGGGATGTCGAATTTCCATCAGTTGATCAGATTAGACAGCCGACAACCGGCAATTTTCGTTCATCCAACAGAAGCATCAGCCAACCAAGCCACCTGCGTTAATTGAATTTCGTCTTCTCTCTCGGTGGATATATTGCAGTGACGGGAGCATCCCTTCTGCAATTCAATGTTCATCTGCCCGAAGATGTCGAGAAGATTGCAGGAGCAAGAGATTTTTATAAAAAATTATGGAAATACCAAATTTTTGAGGGGTAAGAAAGGTTTGGTGAATAAATAATGGAAAATTTATTGTCAATTTAAAATTTACATTGACAATGTGACGAGAATTTAAATTATGGAAGTGTTAATGAAGGAGACAAAAAAAATGATATTAACAGCGTAAAGATGAATTATTACTTCATTAATGATATTTATTAAATGAATATTTTCTGAGAATGTACATAACATACAAATATTACAACTCAATGATTTGATGGTGTCCTGTGGAACATGTCAATACAAAAGGTATCATTTTTCCACCCCCATTTCCATGAAATTTCCACTGACATCATACACATGGATATCCTTGGGGCGCAAGCTCGGGATAGGATCAATCACATGAACGAGAAAGATAGAAAATGCTGAGGGATAGACTAAGATTCACGTTCTTACGCGAACCCAGTAGTTTAGCTGGTCGGGTCGAGGGCGTTTAAAATACCAGCCAAGTACACATGTCGTAATCATACATCCAAGGTGTATCGCAAGCGTCACGCAAACCTGTGTAAATTCTTGATGGTGGTTTGTGTACATGAGGATAGTATATTACGTAGAATAGCCAAAGGACAGGAAGAGTCAGGGAGCCGTAACGACTTAATTGATTGAACGTTTATCGGTATATGTAGATCGAGGGAGTCACGAAATCTCTCTCGTCGGTTACAATTGCTTCCCGTTGGCCTTGACCTTTTCTCAATTATGGAAAATGGAGTGGAAATGTTGGGGCGAAGAGTAACCCATCAGCAAACAGTATTGTATATTCCTTCTTCGTCCTCAGGGCTGTTTGACACGTCTGATATTTCCGTGTGCGATGCCAACTTGACGTAACCCCGATCTTTCTCATTGGTACCAGTTTTACCGTGTGGCTGTGGCTTGGCTTCCGATGTACTTCGATTCATTCTAGATCGATCGTCCGTTGGCTCGCAGATCTCGGTGTAGATATCCTCAGGCTTGGGTGGTGGAGTTGGTGGAAGTGGGGTCAAGCTGTCCCTGACCTTTGAATAGGGTGGATCCAAGTCTCTAGTCTGCTGCACCTCCAGTACACTAGTTGATACTGATCTCTGTACCTGTTGCCTCGATGGGCAGCCTGTTATACCTTTACCTGATACCAGTGCATTGGCGTCCGATTCCAGGCTTGCGTAACGCTCCGCTGACCTCATACCAATTTCAGGACGTATGGCAAATGTGAATGACGCTGATTTTTTTGCGGGATTTCTACTTCTACCACCGTGAGTTATCCTTGATAGTCGCTCCAGGAAACTCGGTGTCGTCGGACTACTGCGGGAATTACTGCGATCGCGAATTGTCGTTTTTTTTATTTGTTCGATGCCATTTTTTAGACTTTGGAGGATGGGTTTTGATTCTGGTTTTGATTTTATTTCTTTTAGGTGGAGCTCTTTCAGTTGGATACTTGAAGCCGCTGGTTTTGGAGGGGCTACTCTAGGCTCCGTTGCTCTCTGATCCAGTGCTTGCCTATAAGGCAATAATATTGACTTTTAAATAATTTATGCAATCTCAAAAATTCAAAAAAATCATCGAGATATGACCGGATTTGAAATTCCTCAATTTATTTGAATTTAATTCATCACTTGAGCAACTCACGATGAATTGAATTCCCTTCGATAAATTTCGATTAAGCATTACAGTGAATATTAGATCCGCCTTTCTCTAGTTCTTGAATTACTCCATCATCAAAGAGGGTTGAAAAAAATTGAGATAATTGTTCATTTCCTGGCAGTGGTATTTTTTTCACCTAGGGAGTAAAAATAAATGATCTCTACCGACGTGCGGAATTATCAGAGTACTCGAAGGCGGGTTATTTTACATCCCGTGGTTGAAACATCCTTTTCTATTACAACGAATGAAAAATGCCTGATAGAGTGAAACACAAGGAAAATGTCATTTTATTTTCATCGGATATATTAAAATTACCTGCATGCGCTCAACAACCTCTGCATTTTGGGTGATGCAAGGAGTCGCGTTTCGGATGGACAGCCAAGTCTCGCTCGTTTAACCCTAGGTGCACCAGGACCAGTTGCCACAAGTTCCAATAATTCTGGTACAGTTGCACTTGGTAATGGTCTCTCAGGTAGTAAAGGCACAGCACAACCGAGCACGATGGGGCCTCTTGTCGCACACTCGAGTTGCATCAATCCGGTGTAATCCCTCGGTAGAGGAACCGGCAGGGGTCCAGCGACAAGCCGCACCTGCAAATAAACAATAATTTTTCTCACCATCACTTCCTAAAACCATCAGATCATGTCCCGAAAAATGGACGTCATTACTTTGAATTTTTTCTAGCCATTATTTTTCATCCCAACACTTTGCAATTTAAAGTTGCAAAAATTTTGAGCATTGGATGAACAAATTACTGTACCAGAAAATTTAATGGTAATTATACGACCGATTTGTGGTTGTGAATGGGAAATATTATGCATTAGTCACTATAGAGGGTATTTTTTAATATTTTTTAATATTTTTTAATATTTTTTAATATTTTTTAATATTTTTTAATATTTTTTAATATTTTTTAATATTTTTTAATATTTTATAATATTTTTAAATATTTTTTATAATTGCGTGGTTATTATAAACTCACTCGTAGGGGTAAATCTCTTCTGGCAAGTTGATGCACTCTGTAGAGGACTGCATCGCTACCTGTGTCGAGGCTGCCACTCTGACAGGTAGCGTAAAATTCACCGCGTGATGATAGCGGTGCAAAGAGTTCATGACCCTGAGAATCCAGACACTGTGCGTACTGATCACGCTCTGATGACCTTGAATTTTTTTTCTCCGAGATACCCGTTGTTACGGCAGTTACTCCAGTGGATACCGGTGACTTTCGTGTGTCCTGGAAGACAGCGGCCAATCGAAGTACTTCACCAGCTCGAATTGTCGTTTTCGTGTAATGAGCCCTCAAATTTCCGTTTTCTGTCGAAACACAATTTTTTTTTTCTACTTTATGTCCAATTCACCGCAATAATCGATTATTTTTCATTATAAAAATGAACGAAGAGATTTCAATTGAAATTTTAATTGTATCTACAATTTTTTTACTTTTGAATTTTTCGTTACACTTTTTAAAAGTGAAAAATAAGAATTCCTGTCAAGTGAATAGGTCACACGCAAAAAAAGTATACTTTACGATTCTACTTGAGAATGAGTGGAAGGAAAGGCAAGGGATCATGCTTTCACCCGACATGTCCGCCTGCCTATTACGTTACTTGCAAATCCACGACTATCGGCCTACGTTTTTGAACGCAATAATGCAATAAAGGGGGAAAAGGGGGAACCGCATTCAACAGACACATTGACATTCGTGTCACGGCCAGCCACTGCACCCAAGAAAATACTCAATCCCTTGTCCTAGCCAAGCACATAAACCCGCGGGGCCTGATTGTGCTTTGTCGCGTGCGAAATAGCAATTGTCTCTGTCAGCTGACTGGGCAGCTGTTGCATTCCCCTGTACTTTTTCTCACCGCCCCCATTCATTAATTTTCTCCATAACGTCTCATTTCTCAAGAATCCCTGCTCACCTTACGACACCAATTCGCAATACATTCTCTTAATTATTCATATCTAATGATCGAAAAAAAAAACAGCTAACCCGCGAATTCGAGTGCACAATCACACGACAAGTTCTCTGAAACAAAATAGACGTACCAGGGCTTTCCTAGGAATATAATCCCTGTTATAATTGTAAATTCACGCGACTCTTGAATTGCGTGCGGCTCTTATTTCGCGTTTTAACGACTCCGTTTAACGTCGAGCGTTTATGAGGCTGAGAGCCAACAGTGAGCGGACATTTTTCTTTTTTCTTCTAATATCACGAGTGGGGATACCCCCTGGATATTCAAACTGATGCTATAAACGCGACATAAAATTTGTACTTTCTCTCTTTAAGCTGTGACGAGAGAATCCTGCTGACTCGTTCAACCCTCAGGATTTCCTCGGGGCTCGTGCAAATCGTGAATTGCGGTTTGTGGTGCGTCATGGTGCGTGCCGTTTTTGTCGCTCATCGCGAAATGCTCTGATGTCGCGAGCAAATGGGAGGATATGCAAGTATATTAGCACTGGTCTGCGGCAAACTCCGTGGGAAAGGCTGGACGCCAAATGGCCTCGTGTGGCGAGACCCCAGGGTCATGAGGTTGAATTGCATCATCGTAATGCCGTTTTTTTCCCCTTCTATCTATGTCTATGGGTAATCCGGAAAGGATTAGTGAGATATCAAAGGATCATATTGCCGTTACTTCTGGACGAGGGAGTAAGATATTTCTGAGATATTCTCAATGTACTTCATCGTTACGAGCATCTATTAACCCGATGATTAAATTTCTCTTCTAATACTTGACGACAATTAATAGAAGTTTTGAAATTTTTTGACAATATTCTGGACGCGTAGGAATTAATAGGATAATTTTTTAAAATTTGTTTTTTTTTTCAGGCTTTTAAATCCATATATACCCGGAAGTTAATGCTCACCCATTTTGGAGTGAGTGAGAGTGTACGCCCGAAGAGGCTTCGCCAGGAGAAATGCCGGAACACCGGCTCTTACTAGTGCGCCAATTCTTCTGTAAACTCTAGCACTTCCGGTCCCACTGTTGCTGGATACCACTGAGAACCAGCCTGAAACAACAACAACACAACACTGTGATCAAACCTTCCGGATATTGGGTAAGAGTTGTGCGATGCAACATGAACTGATGCGCGTGTTCTACTGTTGATAATCCGTAGCGAAATAATTGCTATATAAACAAGAGTAAATAAGGATACAGTGATCTCCGGTGTGCGTTATGTATTCGATCAATTTACACCAGCACACACATCGGCCTTCTCACTTTCTCGGGCCAAGGCTCAGAGAAGGTACGTGTGTGACATCACACTTGCACCTCGATTTTTCCTCCATCATGAAGAAACACCGAGAATAAATACCCAGCAAAATGATATTTATGCTCAAACGGCGATGTGTAATTACCAAATTTGAACATCTCATGGAGCTGTGATGACAGCATATTCCATTCATCTCCACACGTAATCTCAACCGGTACTCAGCGTAAGTGTTTATTCTTACAATTATCGCACTACCTCGAAAAGAAATTAGCGGTACGATTGAAGAATACCTCAAGGCCCCGACACTTCAACGAATGATTAAAATCTCTGTTACAGGGAGATCCAATCCCAAATGGATATCTTCACCGTGAAAATCTTATAAATAGTGCAACCAGTTGGACTGTTAAATCAATAATTTATCACGTGTTATTTACAGCGAGTTGAGCAGTGGAAAATTCCGGTTGGCTGCCAGCACACGCCCGTCCATAATCGCCCAGATAATTTACAGTCGAATGTATCCATTTCTTGTCGCGAGCTATTTACAAGGGGGAGACATAATTCGCCGGAGACCTAGTGGCCATAGAAATAAATAAAAGAAAAGAAAAAAGAAAAGAAAAAAGAAAATAAAAAGGGAAGACGCGCGATTAGCGTACGCGCAAACGCAGTATCGTTCTTAGGTGCAGCTTTGGTGCGCGCGCACTCTCGCTATATCTCCGCCATCTTGGATTGATTTACAACAGCACGAGGGAGGTGCAGCACCAGAGCCACGACGTACTTGCGATGATACTTTTATCGGAGAAGAGCTGGATGTAGGGGGAAAAAGGAAAGAGGACGAGGGAGTAGGGCCTGTTAAGAAATTTATTGGGAGTCCCTTGCTGGTACAGACCCCAAGACAGGACATTACATTGTAATCTTATGCTAAAGAAAGCGAAGTGGAAATCCAACCGACGTGTATGAACGATAAATCCGACCTTGACTCGTATCTCATGCAGGTTAGCTTGGAGCATAGAGGCACCATTCTCGGGTGAGTAAATTTCTCTTCATATGCCTGTACTTGGGTCTGGATGAAGAGCATCAATTGGCCAAGCTGCTGCGGGTGCTTTCACATAATCTGATGGGAATATATTTGCAGTGAGTAATGAGTAACATCAATGCATGGTGCAGAGGTAAAGACTCCGGCCAGCTGTCTCTATTAATAATATGATAATGTTTACCATTTTGGGAAGACTTTAGACCCCTGGAGGCTGTATATTCACTGATTAAACGATAATTGTTGAAGGTAATCGCTGGGCTACCCGCTGCGCCAGGTTTACTCGATCGAAAAGTCATTGGCAATAATCCTTGGGAGAGACAGAGGCGGACTATATACGATAAGGAGCATTTTACTGGCATTCAGTACGCGCACGATCGTTATTTGCCCAACACTTTTCCCATTACATTTTAATGTTTCTTTTTGTTGTGAATTTTATTCCTACTTTTTTTTAATTTCTCTCTCTCTCTCTCTCTCTCTCTCTCTCTCGGGCACTTGAGAACATTTTTCCGTGGAATTCGTGGTAATCGTCGTTGAAATCGAATCGGCATTGAGCGCTATAACGGCGTACGTGTTTAGAGAGCAGTGATCTACCGATCTATCGACGTTTACGATCGGGGAATTATTTTCTTGTCACGGACCGTTAAACCACTGGGTGTTCGCGGGACGTATGAGTGTACTAACGTGCACTGCGCCCTAATGCCTGAACTTCCGCCATTTCAATTAAGACATTCTACGACGTAATATGAATTACTAATAATCCACGGGAAAAAATTATTTCAGTGGTGGTGATCATGGGGCATCTTCATCGGGTCAAATACATTCACAATTGTTGAGTGTTGAGGGCAATTGTAAATATGGATAAATGGAAAAGTTTCAGTGATTGGAACTATTGGAGCACGAGTCAACCTCATTGGCTGGAGATAATTGTCGATGATAGGGAAAACACGTGGTCGAATAGCCATTACTTATGGGTCTCTATGGAGTCAGTCGATAACGCAGCTACCGGTGCAACAGCTGCCACTCGATATTGCACGGTTAATTGGTATCCCCATGCCACAACACCGTTAAACCCCTTTTTCCTGATACTCTGAAATTCTAATAATTTTTTCCCACAATTGAGAGAAATTCTGTCCGTGTAGCTAGATGAAAATCACACTGATTAACTCTGTCGTTTCAAGTGGAAATTCAACCCAGCTCCTGAAGTATCCATCCAATATTACCAATTATTTAAAAATTCGTATCTAAAATTGAAATTAAAATGGAGATTTTTTGGCGGGATCTGGTGTATCGGATTAGACATGAGGAGAGAACTCAGCATGTGGTTCAAAGGTGAACGCTCTTTAAATGACTTTTTAACAGTGAAATTTTTATGACGAAAACGTGTTCTGAATTTAAAGAATGTTTGCCTTGATTGTTGGGCGTGTTCTTTTTGTTTTCGAAACTAGAAATTATGGATTGTAATGTTGAATTTTCTGGAAAATTCATACGATGCTGGATAATTATCTAGAACAAACGGGATCAGATTATCGACTAAAATATATAATTTCTAATGGACAAAAGGGGAAGGATATGAATTCCAACGATTCCGATCGTTCCACGAAATCTCGGGTTTGACATTCTAATCAATTCCATCAGAGAGATGACTGAGCGTTAAAGTGCAGACACGAATCCATTCTTATTTGTCAACTCCCTCACTTTCAGCTAGATCTCATGAAACAATCTGAAGGAAAAGAAAGCACGAGACTTTAGTAATGAATCCCTTGAGGTCATACGACCAATTACAAATTATTCTCGGAATCCACCCCAGGGTGGCAACCGTAAAGCATCAACTCGAACAGTTTATAGTCGGTATACTTTAGGTGAATATAATGAAAACGACGTTTCAGAGCCGGATGAATAAATCTTAACGTGCACCGAGGGCATATGAAGGGAAAAAAGTCGCCATTGTGAGAAAAATAAATAAGATGGAAATAAGCGCCAAGTGTATTCGGGATGAGAAAATACGAATGGAAGTACACCGCCCAAGTTACGTGGTTATTTATGGGTTGAAGTTGGGGTCCATAAGTCGTGAAGTAGCCCAAGACACTCCATGAGTTGAATCCGTTACTCAACAACTGGGGAGAAAACCGACCACGAGTCCTACAATGTTTATGATCATGATAAAGGGGTGAGGTTTATATCGTGGCATACGTATTGCTACCAACGATTGTTATAACATCACCAATGAAATCGGTCCTGTTACCTCATCAGTACTGCCCATATTCGTTGTCATTAATATGCGATTAACCAATCTTTCACGAGTTACTGGCTCATTGAGAAAGGTCGATAGTGCCACGTACCTGAATTTATTGATACTCACTATCAGATTATAATCGATTCACCGTCATTTTAAATTGGTGAGATCATCGATTGTAATGTTTCGTGGAAAATGATATGTGCACCGAAATCAATCCTCAAATATATTGCGGAGAATTGATTATCAATCGGTGGATGGGAATCAGAATAAAATATTAATCTGATGATATTATGAGTGGATCATTAAGTTTAAGACTCCACGACCTCTGGGGTCTATTTGAAATAAATTGCGATGAGTCGTCAACATTTTTTCTGGTTAATCAAGTATAATATTTTCTTGATTATACCACCATTTACTTTTTATGGATAAAAATAGATTACTCTCAAATTAGAAAACGTTTACTTTGTTAATGATTCATCAACAAAAAGTCATTGTAAATACAGATAATGTGTTGAATCATTCCTGGGGATATTATTTAACTATTTGTTAATGATTCATCTGTAGAAGTTAAATTCATTTGTCGATAAGGAATTCCTTGAAATTGTTGTTATTAGGTTGTTATTATGGCCTCAAAAAAATTTTCAGTTCCATTCACATCAATGAGTGACTAATAATTTTCATGGCAATTTACCTAACGATTTAGCACGCAATATCTAAATTATTTCCTCAATCACATCGCTACCGATATAAAAGGGAAACGTATTCGCAGTCTTATACAAAATCATAACTCGATTTCCACAAAGAAATAAAATGAAGAACGGATAAATCCAGCAACGGAGTACATAATTTCTTGATTTCTATCTAGTAGATAATATTCGTTGAATGATGGATAGCCTCTCGGAAATAATCAATATACATGTCCGCGTCATGGAAAGTTTACAGGGGGGACATTATAGTCGATAAAAGATGGCGTAACACATGTGGCATCCATTTCTCATGAATTTCACTGCCTATTTGCGGTGTACTTGAATTATTTGCATAAATAAGTCCAGAAAAAAAGCTGGAGAGGTGCCGAAGTTATGATTTGTCTGAGTAATTCCATGAAGATTACGCAGATAATTAATTTAAACATCTGGGAGAGTTTACGTACACGCGAAAATAAAAGTGAATTCCTTTTATAGCTTTCACAGTTGCGCAAGCTGTACCTTTTTCTTGGATACTCCTCCCATCAATACCAATGCCCACCCAAAGATGTAACCCACGATCGTGTGTACATATACTTATTCAGTTGATGTATTTGTATGTACAACTCGGCCTGGATAGATATCAATCATACAATTAACCGCTATTGAATATTCTAGAATCTAGATCATTCGAATTGAAAAAATCACTTGTCCAGGGGATAATGATAGCTTGTCATTTATCAGAAATGAAGATAAGCGAAATGGTAGCTCGTTAAAAATAGTACTATAATTTTATGCATCTGGTGCGCCGAAGAAATTACTAGAAAGTATGCAATTGATAAAT